CAGTGTGAATTCCTCAGGGAGGTGCCAGTCTCATCCTCTTGTATTTTCCACGCTCCTCTGGTGAGCTAAGAAAATGTTTATATCCCTGAGCCTGGCCTTCATAATTCCATTCCATCACACTAGGAAACCTAAGACCATAAAATTGATGATCCCCACATTTTTGAAAATCCATAATGCCCAACCCCACTGGTACCATTAATTTGACTGATAGTTCAAATCTTATCTGTGAACGAAAACTGAAAGCCTGTACTTTTCTAGGAAGAGTAAATAAAACCGCTTACAACCCATACACAGAAATCTTCTGTTATATATTCCTCTGACATACCTACATCTCTGATGAAATTTTGAGGTCTGTGTCCAGTGTCCACAAAATGCTGACAGTAATCATTATGAGGATTTAAGCTCTGTGTCCCCTAAGGGAAGAAAATCACCTAAGAATAAACATTAACAAAATAAGGCACATCACTGATACACTGATTTGATATTATCACCTGTACATGGAAACAGTTATCCATGTTTCCTAGACCTTAGCTATAATTCCAGACTGCTGATATATTAATTTATTACCATAAAGACTTCTGGAAAATCTATTCCATTTGTCTCTTTTGCAACAAAGAATACATGACTGATATATTCAAGATAATGTTTTCTTCTTTAGCAAATAGTACACCAAATAAGGAACAGCTATTTTTAGGTGAGACATTTTGTCTGTTTTCCATCAAACCACCATACTGCATAGCGGATGATCCTGTATTATTGGCAACTCTGAAATATTGTTCTGGCTACATTAAAATGAAATAATGCTGGCTACATTAAAATGGATGAATAAAATGTCTGTGAAGACACTTTTGTTGATCTTAAAAGCAGTATTTAAATCCTAAATTTGTATAACCAGATATCTCAATAATAACATCCAAATGGAAGGTAAAACATTAAAGCTGAAGTACTCTGTCAATTTATTTTCAGCCCTTTTATGTCACATAATGACCTAAGTTCTCTGAATGTAAAAATAAGATATAAAATGCAAATAAAAAATACAAATCAATAAAGTAAATATAAAACATAATACAAAGTTTAAAAATAATAACTATTTACCTTAAGAAAAGTACTGGAGTCTTTGTAAATTTCTTCTTCATATGGTAGGTTCTCTTCATCTTGTTGCAGCTCCACTTCATCCTTTGGAATAAAGCACATTTTATATGCATGTAGAAACAGGGTCTTCTCATTAGCATTCTACTTCTTAATGAAGAAAGAAGAGGGCTGTCTATGAATATTGGCTTCCTGCAACAGCAGATCATGAGTAGTCCCAGTGTAAGTCTGGGAAAGCAGTCAGTGAACCAATTACATTTTCCCAACAACACTGTTTAAACAAGAAATAAATAAAATGTTTATATATCACATACTGCATGCAGTGCCTTGGACAGTTCATGTCCTGCTATGGTTCTCTGTTGGGTGAACCACTCTATCAGAGATATGTCTTTTGAAGCTGGCAAAGAATGCATGTAACTATTGCTTACTTCAAAAGGATTTATTTACTTATTCGATTTATATCCTGCCTTTTCTTCAGGAGTTCAAGGCAGCATCTGTAGCACCCCATCCTATTCTTCCCTACAAGAGCACCTCAGTGCTGAGAGAGAATAACTGGTCCAAAGTCATCCAGTTAACTTTTGTGGCTGAGGATGGGCTTCCCTAGTGACAATCCAATGTTTCAACCACTATCATACACTGGTTCTCATAGATGGTACATCAGAAGGCAAGCAGATCTTTCTAACCAGCATGTGTGCTGTTTCCCTTTTTGATCCTTTTGATCATCTATTTTAGGAGATCACACTTTCTTGTGATTTTATTTGGTTTTGTAGCTGGTTGATGCTTGATTTCTCTTCATAGTTCCGTTACTTAAATCACCTAGAATCTCTTTTGTGAATGGGGTACTAATTTTTTGTATGTATGTATAAATAATGAACTACATTAATTTACACATAAATTTATGCATACATACATTTATTACATGATGTAATAAACTACACCATGCTTGGATTATTACACTTATTCATATGATCCAAGAATAGTGTCCTTTCTAAAGAGAAAACAAACAAAAATGTCTGTAAACAAACATTGCTAAAATACTTTTAAATATTTACAGTAAAATCTTTTAAGCTAATGTTTCAGATTTGGGCATTTAATATAATTCTTATTGGAAAGATTCAGAAACATGTTTCTATTTTAGAAAGAGGCTGCCTTTAAAAAAAAAAATCACTGCCTTACTTTATATTCTTCTATTTCTTCTTCATCAGCTTCTCCCTCATCAGGATATCTGCGTTTAGAATTTGGAGCAGATGTATCATAAGCAGCCCTGGAAATATGAAAGTTGAATGTGTATTAGTTTAAAACAGATTACATAAGCAAGATGCTGTGAAAAATTAATTTAATATGTGTGGATCCTTGTTGTACTGGCTCTATTATTTTGGGATTCAGTAGCCACTTAGCAAATAGAAAAGGATCAAATTAATGCAGTCCTTCAAAGAACTCTCAGTGCTGAAAAGGTTCTCCCACCTTTCACTGAGAATTCAAGATAATTCATTGGCATTCAGGGGTTGAAATCATAACTATGAAAGGGCATGAAGGCATTCTTTTAACTGTTTATTTCATTTCTGTATCTTTGGCCTGGAAAGATTTAAACTCATTTCCTTTCATGTATGAATTTTACATGTGCACATATTCTTTTCTTCTGCATTGTTACATATTAATGATATTAAACATTGTAATCCTCTTCTGAGTAAAAGCTTTCATTGCATGTCTGATGATACAATGGTATTCCTACTCTGCATAAAGCCTTATCATAGATATATTAAATATTTAATTAGGTATATATGCAATAGGTCTATATAAAATTCAGATCACTCTATTACTAGAGATATAAATTTACAAAATAAAATAAATAAATACTCAAATTCTAGGACAGAATCTGTTCTCAAATATTTGGTTGGAAATTGAAAATTCAATTTGGGTTAAAATAATAACAAGCAAAATCGACATGTTTCTTAGCAAGGAACGTCAACATTGTCTCTCTGTGATGTATTCATTATAAAATGAAGAGTAATAGGTTACTTAATGCAAACCTGCATGTTTCTCTTGTTTCAGCAATTTCTCTTTGTTCATCCTTGCTATTCAGTACTGCACCAATACTATCAGCATTTTCAGCTCCTAACTAAAACATGGGGGAAAAAAGAAAAAGGAATAATAATTATTAATAGCGAGCAGTAAAAGTTTTAATATAAAATAAGGTGTTTATTTTTTTTTTTAATTTCTAGTATGTTAAAGATATTTACTTCTAATTTTAAGAAGATTCAAGATATCTTTTTTTTTTCCTGGTCACATTCAAAATCTATTGCTGAAGTGAAATTCAGCTGATGCAATGTGCCAAAAGTTAAAGTGAAGTTAAACAGACCCAGAAGCTGTATTACTGCTCTTAGACAAGAAATCCATCTAATGGCATTTATAGCAGTCAAATGCTTCACATTCTTTATTCCAAAAAAATCTTTCTTCAGATTTAAAATTAGTCCAGGACAACATTAGTATTGTACCATAAATCAGTAAAATTTAAAAGACGTATATGCTTCCTGCCCCCTCTTTCCCCAAACTGCTAATGCACAAATGTAAGTTATTCCACAAACATTACTAACTTTTATACTAGGCTACTTTATATTCATGAGAGTTATTAATGGAAGATTAATCCTTTACCTGTTCTAGAAGTAAAAAGGAACAATGAAATATTTGCAACCTTAACAAATACAGGGAACACACAAAGGAGACAATGAATGTTTCCTGATTCTGCTTTTGGGTTACTTGATTTATGTGCTGGCTGTTCAGGTTGGGTTTTTTTCCCCCCTACATGTGTAACAGTGAAAACAAGCTGGCTGCGTGGCAGTGACATGTATTTGTTCACAAATCTTTATCACAGCAAAATAAGCCTGCTGCATTTTTTTACTGGATGCACAGAATCTGCTTCTGCTGCATGTCTAGCTCTGAAATAAAAATGCTCGAGATAGAAACAAGAACTGTTTCTATCTTCTATCCTACTAGTTTATATGCTGGATGCATTAACTGAACCTCCTACACTGCATGCTGATATGATGCACTGGTTTTCCAGAAAACAGACAGTGCTCAGTGCGTCTGCCAATGGTCTATTTAATTTCAAAGGTAACCCACAAGTTACTACAGGAGAAGCTGAACTATCTATTCCTCTTCAAGAACATACTGCCTAATGAGACTCTGACTACACAAATGATTGACAACGCTGAGTTTTAATAGAACATAATTCCCCAATTAAAAGTTCACACAAAGTCAAAGCTTTACACTGTACTTATTTAGATGTAAGTACATTACAATGGATATATTTATTTACATACTGTACTTACTCTTTGCAAGCGGAGATAAAGCTGCATTGTTAATTAACTGATATTTCTTAATGCCACTACCATGTTCAGCTGTACTGTAAAACTCTTTATTGTTACTGTATATTGTTATTTTTCATCTAAAACATTCAGTTACATACATGGTCTACTTTTCAATTATCACAACCTTATGAAGTAAGTTATAAAAGACAAGTCAAGAGTTATCCAGTAATGTTGTTGATGTGTGACAGGGGATTTGAACTAGAGCTTTCATTAGGTCTAAGAAAGGCCTCCAACACCACTTTTTGGTGATTTGGTTACTCATTTAAGGCAAGGGCAGACAATGCATAGCTGTACAGATATTGAATTCCAACTTTGATCATCACAGCCTGTGCAATCAATGGTAAACAATGAGTCATAGTCTAACATCTGACAGGCCACATATTGCCCACTTTAAGGGAACATAAAGTCTCTATTTTCAGGATTCTGGACTACAGATTTGTCAAAAACATGTTAGCCTCATGAGCTATGCGAATCCGACCCAGGGTATTAATTAATGATTCACTGTATTGAATGAATCCAGACAATTGTGCTAATTGGGTAAACCACAATTAACTAAATAGGTGGCAGGAGTATTAGGTATGTTCACTGCCTTGAGTTATATATTACAAAGGCGGGATAAAAATCAAATAACGCTAATAACTAAGTAACAGCGTCATACACAAACACAATCACTACTACCATATTTTTAAACATTATTATTTACTAGATGATTGTAAGCGCCTCATAACATGCTGGGCAGTGTATAAAGCTGAAACTGGCATTTCCTGCGAAAGAAGCTGCAAGACTTCGCAGCCCACCGGGAAACAACTTAGTGCTTTGCCGCCCATCCTTCTCCATGACGACAAAGCAGCGGCGGAAGTGACTCCAACCCACGCAGTCCCACTACGCCTTTACATCACAACACTGCGCCAATGGCCCTCAGAAAGGCAGTCCCCCGCACTCCTTTCAATCGTGAGCCCCGGGACGCGCACGAGTGGCCTCACAGCCTCCTGAAGGCGGGACGTGCCCTCCCAAGGATTATCGCCCGGTCATCGGGCGGTAGGTACCTGCTGAGCAAGAAGCTGCCGGCGCAATTTCTGCCGCTCCCTGATCTCCTGCAAGCGGCTATTCATCCTCGTCCGACGGACTCGTGCACTGAAAAGTCGCTGCCTCTCCAGCGCCTACTTCACGCGATACTTCCGCTGTCTTAAACCGGAAACAGAGGCGGAATTAAGAAACGTCATAAGAAAGTGACGTCGTCGCTTCTGGGCTCCTCGTAGAAGGCAAAAAGTTCTGCTCCCGCGTGTTTGAGGAAAGTGATGTTTTCCAGGAAAGTATATAAATGGTGGAAATAATTCTTGTAAATAAAATCATCATGAACGATATTTTATTTTTATTTTTTTTTGGGCACGCGTTCTTCATTTTTTCAAGGCTAGGATGGACTACATCGGTTGCATAGGATAATATGCTGTGCGGATGATAGAATTAGCGTCCTAATCATTCTTTTTTAAAAAGTAAATTAGCGCTAAATATTTGCTAGTATAAAATATTTGTTTAACCATGGAAGGAGGGGGACCTATCGTACATTCCCAGCACAGAAATGGACCCATGTTTTGTGCACAAAAGTTCTGCTATGCTTATTTAGGTTGACTCCTGACGGTTGAGGCATTTGCATTGCTACCGTCATATCGTTTGT